TCTCAAGAGAGAACGGCAAGAACCAGAATCTCTGCCCCAACCAGGACCCTCCTCTCGAAACCTTGCACTGCAAGAGTCACGCCAACAGAAAATGTGCTAGAAACAGTGCATCTAGATTCCCAGCTCCTACCATTCTGCCATTTTTGCTTTGTCTGGCATCTCTCTCTCTTTCTCTCTCTCTCTCTCTCTCTCTCTCTCTCTCTCTCTCACACACACACACACACACACACACACACACACACACACACACACACACACACACATTCTTTTTGCTGAGTCATCAGAAACTACATCATGACACTCCACCTCTAAATACTTTAAGTGTATCTTCTAAAAATAAAGACTGCCTCCTACATAACCACCCTAACCATCAACATGCTCAGAAATCTGACCCAGCTTCAACCCGTGATCTGGTGTCTGGTCCACAGTCCAGTGTCCTCAGTGTCCCCAGGGTGTCTGTTAGAGCTCTGCTTTTCTGTCAAGGAAGGAGTAGCATCCATTTAGTCACCACAGCCCCCAAGTCCCCTCTGATCTGGAACAGCCCCTACTCCTGTTACTGCTTCCACTGCATAGACGTGTGACAGTACAAACCAAGGTTTTACAAAACAGCCCTTGACTGTTCCCTCGTGGGGAGCGTCAGGCCGAGCATCTGGGGGCAGGATGACTCTTGCCACTGCTTCCAATCGTGGGACGCAGGACGTCAGCCTGCCCCATTGTTCATGAGATTGAGCATGACCCCTTGACTGAAGTGGTCTCTGCTCTCCAGGACCTTCTCACATAGTGATTAACAGGCACCCTGTGGGGCAACAGGGAAGAACCCTGTGCCCACACAACCCTTCGCCCAGGGGTGTCAGCATTGAGGATGACTGCCCAAATCAGTGGCTACACCATGGGCTGCTACACGATGATTCTGACCCTGTCATTTCTTCTGCCTGGATGGCTTGGCTTTACAAAGAAGACAGAGGAATTCCCTGGAGGATCAGCAGTTAAGACTCCATGCTTCCAATGCAGGGTGCGAGGGTTCAATTCCTGGCCAGGGAGCTCCCACATGCCTCACAGCATGGCCAAAAATAAATGAAAACATATAGCATTAAAAATAAAAAGAGATGCAGACATTAAAGTTAAGTAAAACCCCTGGAACATATCCTTCTGAAGCACAAGTGAGTCCATCACCGAGAGGTTGACATGCAAAAGCCCGAGTCCCAGGCCTGCAGTCAAGGAGTCCCATCCCTTCTGAGTCCCAGACCCATCTATGGAGGAGGAGCAGGTGACTCTGCGCCCTGTCCAGCTCGGATTGCTGGTTTGAAGTAACAGCTGTCCCAGCTGCCCACATGGCAGATGAGAATCAGTAAGAACTGAACATTTCTCATCACTATGGGGCCAGGGACAGGGACCTCAGAGGATCCCTTGTGTCCAGGCCCATGAAGGGACAAAGGATGCGCCCATCCAGGACCTCTGGATGGTCAGTCATTGCCCCAGGGCAGACATCACTGGGGCCCAGGGTGGTCAACAGAGGATGAGTGCAGGGAGGAGCCCATCCACCCCTGACCCCCTCCTATCCCATTAATCTCATGTGCTGACTCCACACCCCAGGGAGGTTTAAAGGATGTCACGATTCCACTGCATCCTTTCAACCTCACACCCAAAAAACATAAATGTGTGAGGGTGATAACACACAAAACTAAACTGGAATGACGTCAGCTGTGCAAGCAAGCGGGAACACCAGAACACTATCAAGGCAATTGCACTAATCTGCTTCTAATTGTGCGTGGAATTTGATAATTATCTTAAAGGCAGAGAATGGGAGAACAGCCAAGCATCTTATGAAATGACAAAGGAAGAGCTTAAATATCATGTTCAAGAGTACCAAGCTTTACTTAAACCATTAACTCAGAGCTCACAGAAATCCTCAGAAATCAGGACAGCCATCCTATCTTAGAAAGAAGCAGTCGGGCAGAGAGACCACCAGACTTGTGCCAAGTTCAGCTGGGCAGGGTGGCCGACTGGGAGTAAAAAGCCGGGAGCCTGGCTCCAAGTCTGCATGTGAACCGCAGCTGGTGTCACCCCTGTGCCACCTCGTGCTACAGGAGCTAAGACAGCAAATACAGGGACCACACTTGATGAGCCCATGGGGTGATTCTTTCCGAGGTTAATGTTGACCACAAGACATCTTTGCATCATGTGGTTGACCTTAGAACTGAAGACCCAACACCTGAAAATAAGTGGTCATCATCACAAAATCATTCTGTTTTGACTTCGGAAAAATAACTGAACACTTGCATTCGCTGCTGGCAGAGTTCAGAGGTCCGTGGTATTAATGTCAGTGGGTAGAGGGCTGTGAGTTGGGGGGTTCTTTGCCTGTGTGAGTCTCTCAGCCCACAACTTGCAGAGGATGTGAGAGCAGATCATGGTCCTCGGTCCTGAGGCTCCGGAGAGTCCTGCCTGGAGACCCCTGGGCAGCGAGAACAGGAGAGGGATGGGAGGGTTGGAGCCCTTAGGATCAGTGGTCCCCAATATTTTTGGCACCAGGGAACAGTTTTGTGGAAGACAATATTTTCCATGAACAAGGGGTGGAGTTGAGGGACGGTCTTGGAATAATTCAAGTGCATTACATTTATTGTGCACTTTATATAATTATTACATCAGCTCCACCTCAGAGCATCAGGCATTAGATCCTGGAGGTTGGGATCTGCTTAGGATGGAGGATAGTCACACCTGGTGGTCAAGCTTTAAGCACCAGGTTCGACTCCCCACAGCAGGGCAGACTTAGCCTTGTCCCCATCCACTGCTGCCAGCACGGGTATAACAGTGCCCACCAAGGTTGTGCAAACCATAGGCACTGCCTGGCCTTATAAATAAAGATTTATTGACACTCAGTCACCCCTGTTTCTATATGTATTGTCCAGGGCTGCCTTCACACAGCAGATGTGACAGAAACAGTATAGCAGGTAAAGCCAAGAGTATTAACCATCTGGTCCTTTACGCAAAACTTTGCCAACACCCAGAAAGAGTGTGGTTCTGGTCACTGTGAATCAAAGTACCCACTGCCATCTGTAACCATCAGTCCTGCCTTTGTCCCCTTTCCCAAGGATGAGGGGCGCGGCAGACGTGGTATAAACACCACCCTCCCCACACCCTTACTCCAACCCACAGAAGGATTTGGCCATCCCCAGAAATACACATTTTTATGGATATCACTGAAAAGTCTGTTTCAATCTGAACTTCCAGCAGTGACAGAGGTAAATACATAAATTGGGGCTAAGGCTGGGTCCACTATTCATTCATAATCTTGAGTTTGCAGAAATTTCCCCCAAGTAGTCTAGAGGGCATATTTCCAAGGAAAGCGGGTTGCTTCCTTTGTGACTTTTCTGAAGAATTCTGGAAAACTCACCCAGGGTGCCAGGTTATAAGTGAACCTGACAACGTGCAGGCTCTCCCCGGTAATCACACCCAGAACAGGGCTTCCCTCCAAGTCAGCTAAACTACGACTGCATGCTTCCCCCAGGCCCAGCGCAGGGTTTTGTACCAAGAGCTGGTCCCTGGTATCAGGTGGGAGAAGAGGCTTCCTCTGAGAGAGCATACGATAACAGGACTATTTGCATCATTAGAAAGTATATTTATCATTTCTCGTTCATCTGTAGGCAGTTAAAAATAGCTGCCTGCTTTCCATTACACAGGACTCCAAATACCCAGCGGCGGCACCAGCGTCCGAAACCCGCCCCCGCAGCGCCTTCCCATCAGCAGAGATAGTGAGCTTGCAGGAACACCCTTTCTCATACTATCAGCTTTCCCAGGCTTGGTCCTGGCACGGGAGGGAAGCGGGGCCTCATCGGGGCCAGGGGCGGAGGCGCTGTGCGGCTCCCTCTGAGATGCACAGCTCTGTCTCCAAGCACCTTTTCAGAGCCTCCACTCTGGGCCGGGCGCTGTGCCAGACTCCTGAGAAGAGAGATGGACCAGAGCCTGCCTGCTGCCCTCTGCAGGGCCCCTGCCTAGGGCGGGTCTGCGGCCAACAGAAACGGCTTTGCCTTCCAAACACTAACTATAGACGTGGGCCCCTTGGGCTCTTGGTCTTATATCTCATTGGCAATTTCTCTGCCCCGGCCCTGGGCTCTGCCTCCCTGTCCCCTCCAAGGGACCCCTTGAAAGGGAGGAACAGGTCCCATGCCTAATCTTTCCTGGGGGAACCAGCCACTCCCTGTGGTCTGAGTACAGCTGATCCACCCCCAAATCCAAGAAGGTCATGTGAACAGACCTGGCCAATGAGAGAGCAGGATCCTCTCCCACCGTGACTGGGGGGGGGGGGGGGGGCGGGGGCGGCAGGATGGTCACGTGACCCAAGCTGGCCAATCACAGTCTTCCCTAGATTTTGAATGAAACTGACTTTTCACTCATGAAAGACAATTACTTTCCTGCTCGAGATCTCAGGCCCCAAACCCATGTGGGTCTGAATCTACAGGAGCCAGCAATGCCTCTATGAAGGGGCTTGCCAGGAAATGAGCTGACATGGACGAGAGACAGGTCAAAGCAGTATCTTCTGGGTCCCTAGATCCAGCCATGCCTGAAGCTGACTGCTCCTGTCCTGCCTAGTCCCATGAGCCCTCAGTCCCCTTCTGCCTGAGCTGATCTATCCAATGCAGTCTTGACTGATGTAGGCATGTGCTGCTCGTTTCCCATTCTACAGAAGTGGAAACTGAGGCTCAGAGGGGCCAACTGACTTGTCCAAGGTCACACAGTTGCAGGTGGCATGGTCACTCAGCCGGTGCCCCTGACCACTGCACTATCACCCCATGCCCCAGGGCTTGCTGAACCCCCGGGTAGGCATCCCTGCGTCTTCTTCTTTGGCTCTAACAGTGAAGCACCAGGCACTGGAAACACAAGTTCCCTGAGACAAGACTGCATGAGCCTCTGGTGGCAGGGAGGTGGGGGTGTCACAGTGGTCTGCTGCCCAGCAAACAGGCACCCCCTCCCCACTCCATGCTCTGTGGCCCCCAGAAACTCACTTGGTGTTGGCCGGCTGGATGTTGCTCAAGTAATAGTGCACCGAATGGTAGAGAAGCCCCACGATGGTGGTCCAGGCTGGGGAAAGAGCAGACGACCAGACAGCTCTCAGTATCCCCAGTGATAAACCAGAGAAACACAAAACCCCCACCAGAAGTGCTTGCCCAGCAACACACAGTGTAGACCTCACACCCAGGAACCCAGCAGCTCCTCAAGGGCAAGGAGGGGGACATTCAAGGGCAGAACTGACCATGAGGACAGAGTTTGAGTACAGATTCCACTCCACCCTTCAACTGTGAATGCAACCATGGCAACCACTCCCTGCTCCGCCCCTGAGCCAGTTCTGGACACATAGATGCTACAGCTCTTGGCAGAGGGTGAGTGGGTGGGCGGGCAGACGTTCCAGGAACACCACGCGCCTCGGAAGGCAGAGCCTGGTTGAGCTGTGGATGGCAGTGCCAGGCAACAGTGCTGCAGCCATGAGCGAATCTCAGTGGCTATCTGTGTTTGCAGTATTTACAGCAATCTCAGCATCCCGCTGAGGCAGCAGATGCAGGATTTACAAGTCACCCAGACACCTGCCACTCCTTCTGCTGGGTTCCACCTCTCTGTGCTATTCCAACTTGGAAACAGGAATCATCCATTCTGTTACCTCCCTCCGCTAACTTAATAGGAGGTTGGGAGGAGCAAGTCCCACAATGCTTTCTGAGTTCTTCAGAATATCTGTTGAGTGTGTTGAAATTTCAGGAATGTATATAACAATTCACATCACATTTTCTATGGGCCAGGCAGTGGTGTAAGAGCAGTCTCTTCTAATTCTCATCACAAAATATTGGGGCAGATACTAAGACTGTCCCCTAAGTCACAGATGAGGAAATGGAGGCCAGGCAGGTTCAGTAACTTGCCCATTGAGTGGCTGAACCAGGATTCGAGCCCAGGAATTTCAGCCACGGAGTCAGTGCTTATGACCAGTTAATTCTACTGCCAAGTGTGAGAAGCTTCCATGTGGGCAGATCACATGAGGCTGTGATCTTGCTGATTCTGAAAAATTAGGGATTTCTAACAGCCATGCAGCCACATGAGATAAAACCCCATGTGCAGTGGTATGCATTAGGTCAACCTTGGCATTGCCCCTGGATCTTTCCCTTCTGTAGTTCACTCTGAGTGTGGGAGGACAGTCCCCTGAGAGCAGGACACCCCAACATCCCTGAGCACCCTTCACAAAGCAAACTAGAGGGTGCAGGGAGCAGAGGTCAGCTCCCAAGGGCTGGGGAGTGAGGGCCCCGAGCTGGAGACGGGACCACTGTCCTCCCCCACCGGTCTTCAGTCTTGAAGGCAGAATGGGAAGAGCATGGCCTCTGACCAGATGGTCGGGTGCCGAGAATCCATAACTCCCTTGACTGCCCAAGGTCCCTGGGACAGTGACACAGCTGCAGAGGCACAGTCATCTTTCAAGGGGCAGGGGGACAGTCACGACAGCAAAAATGGCCAGAGCCACCCGGGCCCCCTAGAGAGTAATTGAGATCACCTCGGCTGCTGTCCCATCACTATCCTTGACTTCAACCTGCCCAGGAGGAGAACCCCGGGCTCCTGAGCAGACAAAATCTCTCACCCAGCCACCCAGCCTGAGGCCACCCCAGCAGGGAGGGGAGGTGGCCACATCAGTTCATGGTCCACTAAGAATCCTCCAGTGAGCAAGTATAGAATGCAGATTGCCAGCCTGCCTCCCCATTCCCAGTGCACAAGGCTGGATTGTGGTCGGCATTATGAAGATATCTCAGGAGCATCAAAGACGCACCATGTTCCCATCATGGAAACCTGGCCCCATCGGCCCAGGGAGGAGGGCTGGGGCAGCCCCTCTGCCCGGTCACAGCTCACAGGCTGAGTCCCTCTGCAAGGGTCCCAAGCTGCACTCACCTTGGCTGTGGAAAGCCTCGTGGGGGATCTCGATGTAGTTCTGCCCCTGGGCTGGGAAACGGTAGTGGGAGGAATTCATGGTCTTGGGGAGCACTTTGGCCACTGAAAAGTCTAAAACGAGCCAGAGAGAGGAAGCTGCAGTCAGTCAACTCCAGGGCAGGAAACTTGACTGTAAAACCCCATCTGCTTTTGCTTTTGACAGAATGAGCTCTCCTTGGGAGAGTAATTACCTTTAGGAAACAAGAACCTAAAAAATGAGTGTCCAGAGCAGTCATTGTGACCATGTGGCGGACCTGTCTGACTGCCACCCGCTGCGTGGGGGGGTGGGTGGGGCTCCTGGCCTGAGGTGACCCCTCTGCCCTCAGGGCAGCCCCTCAGCTTAAGATGCCTCAGCACTGGCTGCATCCAATCTGGCAGGGAGACCCCCATGCTGAGGGGCTCCTCCTCCACACCGGGGACCCCACAAGACACAAGAAAATGAAATGCCCAACACTTATCTTCTAAGTGAGGCAAAGCACCACCGCATGAAGGGACCTGCCTTGGCCAACAAACTCCCAGTAAAACCAACCCAAGTGAGTGAATGAAGCTTCCTTTCCAGAAGTGTGGCTCTAATGATGAAGTATTAGGGTACCAGGCTTCCCAGGTGGCACTAGTGGTAAAGAACCCTCCTGCCAACACAGGAGATGCAGGTCAGATCCCTGGGTCAGGAAGATCCCCTGGAGGAGTAAATGGCAACCCACTCCAATATTCTTGCCTGGCAACTCCCATGGACAGTGGAGCCTGGAGGGCTATAGTCCATGGGGTCGCAAAGAGTCGGACATGATTGAGCAACTTAGCATACACACATGCTCCCTAGACACAGACTCTGAAAATATCAAGAACCATGATGTCCACTTGTAGGAGACCATGTGACCAATATCTTAGAGAAACCTGTAGCTGACCCTAGGAAACCTGGGACCCACAGACACTCCAGGGGCTTCTGCTGCTCATCTCCTGTCCTGCACTGAGACAGTTGTCACCCGAGATGAATCTGGCCCCTAAGTCAGTCTCAAAGGCTCCCGTGGTCCTGTGTGAACATCCCAGCTGAGCATGGGTGTTCCAACCTAACTCTGTCTTCCTCCAAAATGTCACTGCACATCAGGCAACATAGTGTAGGACAATGAAGAGGTGCATCTCCACTGATGGCATGTGAGGTTTGTGTGTACCTCTGCGCACACAAGAAAATGCAGGAGTGCAACAAGCAGGTGGCATTGCCTGCACCCCGCCTTCCACCCGCCCCCGCCTGCTGCACAGTCATCCTCACCCACACCCACACTGCCAAGCTACCTGCCATGGACGAGGAACCCACGATGGCGACCTGGGGCTTGCTGGCCTGCAGGTTGTAAGTTATGTGGCTCATGACGGTGTCAATGGTGTCTATCAAGCCCGGCACCACAGCGCTGTCCTGAAATGACACCACGACAGGAAGGAGACGTGAAGATGGAGCTCACTCAGCACATGCATGAGTCGGAGGCATCAAACACACAAACGCACAAGATCAAGCTTCAAGTTCACTGTCAACATTCCTGCAAAGGAGGACACCCAGCATCGGCTGAGTGATGTTTCTGGCCAGGCTCTATCTTCACGATGACCAGATGAGAGGAGAAACAGTCACACTGCTGACCCATTTCACAGGCGCGGACGTGACCACGGAGGTCACCCAGCCTAGCGGAGCTAATACAACATGGATACTGGCTGAGGTTGACCCCAGTCACCAGAGCATCAGCTCCAAGGCTTCCACACTCAGACACAGAGTGACCAGACCTGATCCTGGGTCCACTATGAACTCACTGGGAACCTTGGCATCTCTCTGATCTGCACCCCCGACTCCATCCTCTTCTGCTTCATGAGGAGGGGGCTCATTGCTCCCAACACCCTCCAGGATGAAGATAGCAGTTCTGTCCTAATCTCCACAAAGGGGAGGGTACTTTAGGGGTGCCAACACCCCAAGTCACCCCTGGCCTCCCTGACAAGCCTGGTGTGTCTCTTCCTTTTTCCAAGGGCCTCTCCACTCTGAGTCCCCAAGGCAGAGACTATCCTATTGGGTGCTGCCCCCAAGGAGGCAGAGAGTCCCTCCAGGACACCCTGTATCTCTGCAGGCAGCTCAGAATGGGCTGATTGCCCCTCATCCTCAGACACACGTCTAGCAGGGAGGGGTCATCTCAGTTCCCCTGAGGGTGTGGTGTGTGAATCTCTGCCATCACACCCCTTCTCTCCTTCCCGCCCTTCTGAAAAAAGCATCCATCTGTTGCTAAGTGTCCCAGGCGTTCTCTCACAAACATATGCTGCATAAGAGTCTAATGAGCTGGAAATAGAATATGGAGGCCAATTTTAGACATTTTCTTTCAGGCCCATGGCCTGACTTCAATCAGCCAAGCACAGTTAAGCACATGAAAATCTGTGTTTCTGGCATGCAGTTCTGTTGGGTAGTGGCTGATTCATACCTTCCCTTTAACGCACAGTAGAGCCTGCCTGAGTCTGAATAGTTTCATGATTATTCATATTTTGTGGCAGAGTATTCAGAAAAAGTTCATGTAAAATGATGCTGAAAGTATATTTGCTCAGGTCCTCCTTGGCCATCTTCTGGGGGCTTGCTGGGTGGCAAGCCATCCCCCCCTGGAAATCATCAACTTTGGAGGACTGTGTCTTTTAAAACAGAATTTGTTTCTAAGGAATATTATATTGATCTTAAGTTCATGACTGTTTTTCTCTTCCTTTGCCACTGTGAAGTCCCATCCCATTCTATTTGAAACTGTTCAAATAAAAAGTTCAGGTGTAAATCTTGGAGCAATCTCACTCATAATGAGAAGGAGAGGTCATTCTGCCACAAACTGGCAGATATGTTTTAAACATTATAGGAGTTCAGGAGAAGGAGTACTTTAAATAATGGTGCGCTTGCAGCCCTTCCAGGCAAGATAGTCAAGACTTCTCCTCCTACCCGCTTCTCCACCCCTGCTGGGCAACCGAGGAAGTCACATGTTGAAACAGTAGCCTCAGAAAATGGGCAGAGTCAGGAATCAGGTCACTGGGCAGAGAAGATGCTTCCCAGACTCACATCATATTTGGCATGGGTGAGAACTAAATGTCCACTGCATGGAGCCACTGGGATGTATGGTCTATTTGTTACTGCAACATAGCCTAACCTAGCCTGACTGATACAGGATTGCTGAAAAATACTTAATATCATTAGGAAAGATTCTAATTAAAGAGAAACTGGTAAATTCAGATAGCATATTTATAGAATATATATGCATATAAGAATTATATATAATTATATATAATTTCCTGGCAGTCCAGTAGTTAAGACTCTGTGCTCCCACTACCGAGGGTGCAGGTTCAATCTCTGGTCAGGGAACTAAAATCCCACAAATCACATGCTGTGGCCAAAAAAGAGAGAAAGAGAGAAAGAAATTTCTATTATATGCATATAAGAGAACTGAAAACTAGATTGTAAGAAATACATATATATATATAGGACTTCCCTGGTGTCTCAGACGGTAAAAGCGTCTGCCTACAATGCAGGAGACCCGGGTTCGATCCCTGGGTCGGGAAGATCCCCTGGAGAAGGAAATGGCAACCCACTCCAGTATTCTTGCCTGGAAAATCCCATGGATGGAGAGCCTGGTAGGCTACAGTCCATGGGGTCACAAAGAGTCCGACACAACTGAGCGACTTCACTTTCACTTTCACATATATATAAGAATATGAACAATCATTATCACTCAGTCTGAGAATTTCAGGTGATTTTTATTTTATATGTATTTATTATCTGCATTTTCTAACTAGTCCACAACATATTGACTTATTTTATTTCTTAAACAAGTAAAATCAAGAATGTTATTTTTAAAAAGAAAAGAAAAAGCATTTCATTCTCCTAACCCTTCAGAGTACAGAGAAAAGAAGCTGCTTTGATTTCTACACTCATAATCATGACGTGTATATTGTCACACATTGGACTTTTTCCACTTAATACAGTGATCTTTAATCAAATATGTTTTATAATTCAAGGACAATGTGCTGGTAAAAAGAAAAAACTACTAAAATGATAAACAAGCCTACATTCCTCATGAAGAAATCCAACAATTTCCCTGCTCTGTGTTGAGGACAGCACCATGTACTGATGTTTGCAGAGCTCTGATCCGTAGAGAAAACACAGCATTGAAAATTAATCACATATCCTGTCGAAATGAGCTCTAATATCCCAGATCTCATGACTGAAAGATGCATCATTTCTCTTACAGATGTGAACCGGGCCATATTTATGCCACTTCAAGGAAGACAAAATGGTTCCCCAGGAACTTCTGAAGACCAAAATGTTCTTTCCTCTCACCTCTGACACAGCAGTCCAGCTGGGCAAACGAAGAACCTCTCCCACGGTGTTTAAGAAAGTCTAAAGGCAGACAAGATGACACTGCTTAGCATGTATTCTTAAGCCTCAAAAGCATAAGACCTCCCATTTTCTCATGTCCATCAACCACAGGCTGGGTTTTGCATATATACAGCAGTAAACGAAAATACCTCTCATCAGTGCATCAGGTTATATTTACAAAGCCCTTTGATAGATGGTGTCTTATTTGCTCCAGATGACACTCATTAGTCAGTGGCAAGTATTTAGGCCGCTGACTCCTGATCTAGAGCAGTTCATCTGAATAGAAATATAATGCAAACCAAATTTTTGTTTTAGATTTTCTAGTGGCTGCCTTTTTAAAAGTTAAAAGAAAATAGGTGAAATTACTTTTTAATAATATATTTTACTTAGCCAAATATAGCTAAACTATCACTTCAACATGCAATCAATATAAAAATCATCAATTTGATATTTTACATTCTTCTGTTACACTAAATTTTAGAGCTCCAGTGTGTATTTTACACCTTGATTTGAACTGGCCATAATTCAAGTGTTTAAGAGCCATGTGTGGCTAATGCCCACCTTATTACCCGGCACAAGAAATTCCTTTTCACTTTCTTGTTCAACTATTGGTGGTGAGGAGCCAGGACATGGTGGAACATCGGATAATGGATGCCAAAGATTTTTATTTCTCATCCAATCCAAACTAGTGGGGTTTGAGGTAAATCCACATGATTCCTCTACAGGACACTCAGAGTCAAGTATCCATTCCCACACGGCCCCCACCAGAGGTTTCAAACTGATGACCCACAGGCTGCATCTGATTCATAAATGTCTTTTATTTGATTTGTACACAACTGCTTTTAAATTTGTTAGCTGCCCACTTTTTTTTTTTAATGGGTGCGATTCCATTTTAAAATTCTGGGTTTTTGCTTTGCTTGCAAAATCAGAAGTAAACATAATGGTTAAAATCAGGAGGCTCTTGAGAAGCTCACTGCCACTCCCCTACCACATTCTATGAATGAATGAACAAAATTTGAGAAGTCTTACTCTTGCTTCTATCACCTAGGCAGGAGAGCTATTGGGACAAATACCTCCTAGCACATCAAGACATCTTGTTTACTAAACACACGCTTTCCCATGCTTCTTTGGCTGCTTCTTTGGGTTTGTCTTCAGCAAGGAAACCAGGAAAGATTGAGAACTCTTAAAAAGCACTCACCAAGTGCCAGAGTCATACTATGCACATAGGAACCTTCTTGCTACTGCTAAGTCACTTCAGTCGTGTCCGACTCTGTGCAACCCCATAGACGGCATCCCACCAGGCTCCCCTGTCCCTGGGATTCTCCAGGCAAGAATACTGGAGTGGGGTGCCATTGCCTTATCCGAGGAACCTTCTTAGAACCCAATAAAGTAAGTACTACTGTTACCTCCCAATATCTCAGATGAGCAAAGCGACGCAGAGATATAAAGTAACGTGACCAAGGGCGCACAGTAAGTAACCAGCAGAGAGATGTTCAGTGCAGCAATCAGACCAATACTTCCTGCTCTTAACCCTTATCTACACTTTTGAGGTGTAACAGTCTCACATTCCTTTTCTCTGGATATCAGCAGCCAAGAGCCCTGTGCTGAGATTGAAGTTATCAGGCCCATACAAGCCCAGCATCCTCCTCTACCTTGACCTGGAAAGATCTTAAGGAGAATGTAAAGAGAAAGTACCTTGGTTCTAGTGCCATACATGGTGCATTCACTAAGTGTTTTCAGTAACTTTGAGAATTCCCATTGAGATATGTCACAGCATTGGGGTCACACTACGACCCCATGGCTAAATCTGGCAAAGACCCAACTCTGCATTCTAGCTGTTGCCAAGGGAGGTAGCAGAGTTTAGAGCCAGATTTGCAAATTCAAATGCAGACAGGGGTCAGGTGGGGCTTTCCTGGTAGCTCAAACAGTAAAGAATTTTCCTGCAATGCGGGAGACCCGGGTTCAATCCCTGGGTCAGGAAGATCCCCTGGAGGAGGGCATGGCAACCCACTCCAGTATTCTTGCCTGGAGAATCCCATGGACAGAGGAACCTGGTGGGTTGCAGTCCATAGGGTCACAGAATTGGACATGACTGAAGCAACTAGGCGTGCGAAGGGGCCAGGTAGATGGAGAGACAGGCCAGCTTGGCTGGACACTGGGAAAAGGAGATGAAGAGTCAAGTCTCATCTGAAGGAAATCCCACCAAGCTGTGTAGAGCTGACTACACAGTGTATAGTCCACGCCATCTGGCTGTTCATGAGAATTCTGAAATCCAGACTTCCATATAAAAGTTTCTGATTTTTTCAGCTCCGTGTAGGTCAAACAAGACACACTTGTTGGTCATGGTCTGGCAGTTTGCCATCCCTGATCCACTGGGCACAGAAATCACATAGCCTTTACCTTGGTGAGGTTGAATGCTGTCTCCTCTGAGAGGGATTTATTGGGTAAGCTGAGGGACATATTTTGAAGGTAACTCAGAACAATTCCAGGACTCCGGAAGTTTTTCCTCTCCTCTGTCAGGTTGGTTATGATGGGATGGTAGGCATCGGTGGGCATCTGAAAGAAATCAGTGACATGAGTTCCTGTTAAGAACTAAAGCCAAGATTTCTACAGAAGTTCAGTCTGTCCTTTGGGCCTCATGCTTCTCACACCATAATAATCATGACGATAGCACTTCCTATATGCTCTTATGACCATTTAACATATATTAACATTTCATCCTTACAACAACCTCATGAAATACACATGCGATTGACAGATGAAACTAAGCATGAAGAGGCTTATGCAGAAAAAAATGAGAGAACTGGGATTTGAACCCCAACAGGTGGTGCTAGAGTCTGTTCCCTCACTATTTCATTAAAGTTCTCATGGAAGGAAGTTGATTGATTACAAATGCTCATATCAGAAGGGAACACTTTCTAAAGGAATGGATCCTTTCCTTGAACATCAGAAGAAGATGGTGCAGAGAGAAGCTAAGTGTCCAGGCCACCTCCTTCTCGCTCTCCAGTCATGGCGCCAAGTGCAGCAAGAAATAGCCTCATGTTAGGTGGTCCCTGGTAAGTTTTGTTGTTCCATGTGGGCACCTGAGGCTACAGGTCATGGGGAGCCGAGGGTCTTCCCTTCAGTCACACTGAGCATCAAGGATTAGTGCTAACACTGGCTACCAAGACAGAGCCAGTCACTCTAATGGGATTCCCACTCTCCTGGCACATAGTCCAAGCAAAAAGACATCACCAAGATGGGGGGCAAAACTAAATGCATCTGCTCACCATGGTGTTCGCTGTGGGTGTCACAGAGAAGCTGGGTGATATTGAAGACAGCAAAAGCTGCTCTCCTAAAAAAAAAAAAAAATAATACAATTAAGGACTGAAACGTAGTCACGTCGTTCACCCTCAGGAAGGCCTGTTGTTTGTTTGTTTTTTTTTTACAAAAATCTACCAGTTTCAGGCACAAACTAAGAAAGCCTGAGAACGCTGTGAGTAGGAATGTTTCTGGAAAGATAAAGGTCTAATAAATCAGCCAAATGGGGAGATTGTATGGATTTTCGCAGATCAAATTATTTTTCCACTTATAGTCTAAATTGCTTGGAAACACCCTTCAGGCAAAACATCATATAAAAAGATGATTTCATACAAGCTTGCACCAATTTCAAATAAATAAAGAAGCAAAAGAAATGGATTTCCATCGCACTGTGGACTAGTTAGACATAAAATACAGAGGGTTGTGAATCACTGGGCTGGGACAGACAGGAAACCTGGCCCCTTCCCTTCCAGCAAGATGACACTGGAACCCAGTCAAGTGGTGGGGAGACCATTTTCTTGAGCCCCTCCCATCCCGAGGATTCTATTCAAGACCCCATGTGGTCAGTTATGAGTGACCACAATCAGAAAGACATCCAAAACCAAAGATGTAGCCATGGGACTTCCCTGGTGGTCCGGTGGTTAAGCATCCATCTTGCAATGCAAGTGACATAAGTTCAATCCCTGGTCTGGGAAGATCCTCCATGCCACAGGGCAACTAAGCACTCAAGCTGCAACTCCTGAAGCCCTCTCGCCTAGAGCCCCTGCCCCGAAACAAGAGAAACCACTGCAATGAGAAGCCTGCATACTGCAAGGAAGAGTATCCTCCACTCGCCACGATCAGAGAGAGTCTGCACAGCAATGAAGACCCAGCACAGTCAAAAAGAAACAGAACAAAACATGTGCCATGATTTACTGTTTTCTGCCTGTTTATCCGGAAAAGGCAATGGAAACCCACTCCAGTAGTCTTGCCTAGAAAATCCCATGGACAGAGGAGCCCGGTAGGCTGCAATCCATGGAGTCACGAAGAGTCAGACACGACTGAGCAACTTCACTCTCACTTTTCACTTTCATGCATTGGAGAAGGAAATGGCAACCCACTCCAGTGTTTTTGCCTGGAGAATCCCAGGGACGGGGAAGCCTGGTGGGCTGCCGTCTATGGGGTCGCACAGAGTCAGACACAACTGATGCGACTTAGCAGCAGCAGTAGCAGCAGCCTCTTTGTCACCAGCTAAGGGATTAGGAGAAGGGCCCCCTCCAGACAGGTCACCCAGGGAAATGCTCCCTCTTTGGGCACCTGCAGCCTAGATCACTCACAGCTTCATGTGCAGACAGATCTTTATGCAAAGAACAGGCTCTACTCCGTCCTGTGGGCACAGCACCACAGCAGCTGGATTTTAGCCCCAGTTGTCTGTCTGAGCACAGCTGCCCTGAACTCAGCTGTGCTAGACTAAGCGATGGCTCAGGAGCCCCATACCAGGTCTTCAGGGGTCTTTGAGGGACACTTTTCAATACAGGCTTTACATCATGGTCTCTGTCTTCAGAACCAAATCCCCAAGTGATGTGGGATTAGGAGTCCAGTTCTGGTTGAGTAAAAGTAGGCCTGCAGTCCCCAGGACACACAAGTATTAAGAGAACACTTCTCCAGTCTCCCAAAATCACACAGAGCCCTCCCCAAATGTGAAGACTGAGGGTGAACACACACACGTGATTCAGTGGCAGGGACTTCCAGACACACTGCACTGTGGCAGCAGGCGGGTGGAGGGGTGGGGTGGAGGTGGGGATGGGGAGACTGACAGGCCACATCCCTGAGCCCAGAGATGTCCTGGTGACAGGTTTTGCTGTGACAGCTAAAAGGGCCAGGAACATTAATGCCTCTTTCTGGTGATGCTAAAACAGTAAGCTCTTGGGGAGGCAGGAGTCATCTGAGACTCTCAATAACACAAGTACAGATGCTATCTTGGTCTCTAGGTGACAAAAATCTCGGAATCTGAGGCAATAAACTGCTGTCGATCGATATCCTTTTTCCTCCTAAAGGACGGTATATTTTGTCTAGTGTCACTTCTGTGAAAGGGAATGAATTCTGCTTTCTCAGTGAAAGATGGAGACATCAGAGGCTGCTGTGGATATAGGCTGGTTTTGCTGGCTCTGAGACCAGCGTCCCTGACTGTGCTCTGGAGGGGGACTGGTGGGGGGCAGCCCTGACCTCACTGCTATTTCACTGGGGTGGACTGTGACCTAGGCTTAAGCCAATCAGGATATTCCACATCCCCACCTACAGTCATTGGTTCATGGTCAATGTGGGCCAACAACAATGATGGCCAGCCCGGTTGTAGTAGATGACAGAAAAAAGAAGCTCCTTGTTTCCTGCTTGGGGGGGGCGGGGCGGGAGGAGGGAAGGAATGTGCTCCTGGAGGAAATGGCAGTCATATCCTGGCACCACAGCAAAACAAAAGAAGTCAAAGTCCAAAACAGAGATTCTCTAGCGACATCACTTGAGCCACGAAAGGTCACATATTATATGATTCTCTTTATATGGAATATCCTAGATAGGTAAATCCACAGAGAAAGAAAGTTAGTGATTGCCAGGGGCAGGGGAGGAGGAAATGGTGAGGACTGCTCCTCCGGGATGGGTTCCTCTGGGGAGGATGGTTGCACCACATGTGGACATAGGAAGTACCACTGAATCGTGTACTGTAAAATGGTGACATTCACATTACATGAGTTTTACCTCAATTTCTTAACAAAGTGACTTCCCAAGTCCCACGGCTCGTCATGGTTTAATGAGACTTTGAAACCAGGTCTGCCGGTCCACCAGGCCCCTGATCTGATCCACCACTCTGTGCTAGGCAGGAAGGGAGGTGGGCAAGGGGGCTCTCTGAGGGTCCATGGGTGAGTCTGACACGCGGAAGGCATGCGGCAAACATGTGTGGATCAAGTGGACCGGGAACACTTGCTTCCCAAAGCTTTCCATAACCATCCATCACAAACTTCAAAAACTCCCTGGTGACCAGCATGAGAATATTCGCTTCAGTGTGTTTCAGGTAAATTATGAATTCCTCCATCTTAGGGAGAAGGGGTTCTAGAAAAAAAACTGATCAGGATGCATTCAGCCTGCAGTACCAACAGCCCCAGCAGGAGAGAGCCGAGAACAGAGAAAACTATTTGCCGCCGGTAAAGGGGCGGCAGATAGGAAGGTCCCCACCCCCCAGAGCTGACGTCACACCCGGCCCGCAGCCCCGCCCCTCTCACTGACCAATGGCAGCTGTGAAGTACATGGCGATCTCATCCGGGGTCAGAGCCCGTTCCCAGATGATGAATTCGTCAAAAGCTCTGTTCTCATAGCTCTTGGCCTGGTCCTGCTTAGACTCCAGCACAAGGTTGTCATTGGACTCCCCGTAGGCGGGAGACGCTTTTCCACTTGGGTCTGAGGTCCTCAGGGTCCCATTGACGTAGACTTTCAGGCCCTCCTCGGACTTCCATGTAAACAGGACGTGAGTCCAGTAGTGGCCTGGGAAAGAGCAGACACACCCTTCTGAAGACGTGAGTTCTAGCTCCACACTCCTAATTTTACACACATTTCTCTCCCTTATAATAGTAGGTCATTGGTTGAGTCCTAAGTCATAATATAGGCTTCCCCGGTGGCTCAGATGGTAAAGAATCTACCTGCAATTCAGGAGACCTGGGTTCAATCCCTGGGTTGGGAAGATCCTCTGGAGAAGGGAATGGTAACCCACTCCAGTATTCTTGACAGGAGAATTCCATGGACAGAGAAGCCTGGTGGCCTACAGGCCATGGGGTAAGAGTTGGACACCACAGAGCAACTAAAACATACACATACGTCATAATATACATCTGACTTCCCTCAGTCTTAGGAGCTCAGAAAAGAAGTTACCCTCACTCCTGAAAGCCCAGAAGCCTGTTCAAAGATATCCTCTGCCATTTTAAGTTAAATGAAATAACTAATGGTCCAGTATATATATGTCAAAAATAATAATTATTAAAAACGTAAACTTTTAAAAAAGGAGAGCTTATTAAAAAGAAAACTTGTTCAAAAATATTTTTTAATTCATCCTAAGCCACCCCCAGGCAGGTCAGCGAGACCTACCTGAAAGCCTGATTCAGCCCTCAGGCCACCAGTACCCACCTCCACCCTGACCTTGAGCGTGTGATGGCAGCGTGGGGGAGGACAGACCACTCCTGGCTCCGCCAGAGCCTCCATCAGGAGCCTTGGTGGTGACTCACGGCTCTGGCATGAGAACCACATTCACCCACAAGAAGAAATTTCACCAGACTTTGACAGCAGCTGGCCCCACAGAGAGTCTCACTTCATTGTGTAGTGGGTGTTCAGATGCACCCAGTGACCTGCTGCTGAAAGCAGTTACCCAAGGCTTCTTGCTCAGAATTGGGCAACTTTCTAACCTTCAGTCTCCAGAGAGCAGGGATCCCAGACAGGTCCAAAGTATCACTGTCAGGACTTCCCTGGTGGTCCAGTGGTTAAAGAACCCGCCTGCCAATGCAGGGGACATGGGTTCCATCTCTGGTCTGGGAAAATACTACATGGCATGGGACAGCTGAGCCCATGCTCCACAACTATTAAGCCTGCATTCTAGAGCTCTTGGGTCAAAACTACTGAACCCACATGCTGCAACTATTGAAGTCCATGGGCCCTAGAGTCCGTGCTCTGCAACAAGAGAAGCCACCGCAATGAGAAGCTCACACACTGTAACTAGAGAGTAGCCCCTGTTGCAGTGAAAAAGAAAAAAGAGGAATGAGTTCTTGTCTTTCCCTTTCTTGAGAACAAAGAAGATAAAGAGAACAGTGAGCAGGCCTGAATATTCCTAGTTTTTTTACTTCAGTTGCTCTTAACTCTGCATGTCTGTATCAAAGTTCACTTTACTGCCTCCTAACTCTGCAGAAGCTACAATTCACATTTTTTCCTTTGACTCTATGCTAAATACATCCCTTATCTGGTGTTTATCCTTACAACACCCTTCCCCTTGTAGTTACATATCATAAAGAAGGCCACAGAGCCACCCAACTGCCAGGCTCAATGACTGGGTTACTGAAGCCAGTTTATGACTATCTTGGAAACAATGCAAGAGGAAGAAGTCAAGATCCTATCACCTTTGTTCCTCATCACTGACTCCTGACTGTGAGCCCTTGGCTTATATTAACCCCTAGACTCTTCATGGAGTGGGGGGCCACAATTCTTGAGGTATAAGCCTACTGTGTTACCCTCTCTGCTGGCTGAGAATTAAAGCCACCTTTCTGTTTCTTTCAAACTCTACTTTCATATTGTTTTTTCATTCAACTTTGGTGGGTAGAGGAGTCCAAGCTTTTGGCCAGCAACATCCCTGCTCACCGCAACTAGAGAAAGGCCCACACGCAGCAACAAAGACCCAGCACAGACAAAAGTAAATAGATACACAAAATCTTTTTAAATAATAAAAATAAAAATGTTTCTCTTCATTTTATAATTTTTAGAAAAGTATTGTCCTTGGATATGAAAATACCTTCAAGGAACAAATGAGAGCACAATGTCAGGCAGAAATATTTACAATTCTCCCCCTTTCTCTGGGTAGATGAACAATCAGGGTTCAACAGATTTGACCTTAAAACATACTCAAGAAACCTACAAGGTACCTAATACTGTGTCAGCCCCAAAGGGGCAGGGAGATCAGACTGTTACCTAAGAGACTGAGAGCAGTTAGAACGTGATAAGAGCTATGAACAAGGTGCAGGGCCTGCACGTCTAAGGAGAGGGGAGGAAGAGACGATTTCTGGCCCTGAGGATTGGCGAGGGCAGACATGAAAGTTCTCGCAAAGTCTGTGCGTGCTGAGTTTACCACTTTTCCAGAGGTACAAGCCTGACCCCAGCTTATAGTATCAGCAGAATCAGGCAAATGCATTCAGTATTCCCTGGGCACCGCTCTCTTCTAGGTTCCTTGCATGTTAACTCACTTCACTCTCAGTAGCCCTTTGACCTAATGCAGTCACTGTGCTGACGATACAGATGAGGATGCTGAGACACAGGGTGGGTGAGTAAGGTACTTCGATCCACACAGCTGGCAGAGAGTGAGACCTGACCTAGGCTGCTTGGCTCCATGTTTAAAAAAAAAAAAAAAATGGAGACACACAGCCTTCCTTGAAGTGGTCCAGAAAATGAATTTTCCTTAACTAGGTCAGGAATGTCACTTCCTCCTAGAGGAGACCATTCTAGACTCTCAGTTTGCCTTCCACCTGCGAGCTTCCCTTCTTAGTCTCCAGTCTGGACTGGATGCCCCTTCCATGCCACCTTAAGATGCTCTGAGTCCCTGGTCACCTCTCCCCATCTTAGTTCACAGACCTCCAGCCTCCCCCAGCTGCCTGCCCCACACCTCTGCCCTCCTGGCCAGTCAGCTCGGATCACACTGTGCCCGGAGAAAACAGGAATCTGTGGAACAGAACCATGTGGCCTCCCAACACCCACCTAGGGTCTCAGGCACATCTGCACACACCCAGCTCCCTGCCCCCCAACCCTTCCCCAGTCCTGGAAAATTCTTCCTGCATCCCAGGGCCCCTCCCTGCCTGGTGCCCTAGCCTCTTCTCCAGCATCCTTTCTTTCCCTCAATCAGCAGCCCCTCTTTTCCAAAGGCTTTTTCACATCAAAGTCGAAACATTTGCAGGTTTGCACCACTAAAAAGAAGGAGGAGGGCCAGAGAAGGAGGAAAGGAAAGGAGCAGGAGAAGAGGAGGAGAAGGCAGATGGAAGATGCAGGAGAAAGAGGGGGAAGCCAGGAAAAGGAGAAACAATAAGCACTGGGCCGAGAGATATACTCCAGCTTGTGATCGAAGTATCGCTATTATCTTCACTGCGCGGAAACTGAGGCTCCAGTGTGCTAAGTAACATGACGCGGTAACACTGTCTGCAGTCAGAGGGAATCCAAGCACCTGGCTGCAGAATCCTGGCCCTTAACTAACCAGGCAGACATTTAAGCAAAGGATGCTATCTCACCCTTTCCAGTAAGTTTTCCCAAGCAGCCCCTTTTACTAGGAAGGGGCTTGCGTGCCCCGAGGACAGCGGGCTCCAGAGCTCGACATCCTTTGGGTTCATCCGCTTCCTATCAGGAGGTGGAGGCGGTGGGGGACTGGGCCTCCTCCCCCTGCCCCCACCTCCCAGAGCATCTCTCAGGCCAGTGGCGCCCTTACCTGGGGGGCTGAAGCTGGCTTTCCACGTCACGGATTTGTTATGCGTGTATAGCTCCACAGAACCCTTGCCGCCGCTGGAGCAGACTTTGAACCCGTTGGAAATGACCTGTCCTCCGTAGGCAGAAGGGATTGATGTGGACTGTTCTCCTTGTGTCTTCCAGAAAAAAGAGAAGGAAACCCCTGAGGACAGGAAAGACGTGCGGTTATTATTAATGAAAAGTGAATGGGACTTAACCTCACAGAGGCAGGTCGGTCTCCCTGCTTTTTAATTTTCATTCAAAAGGTAATTTTTTTCTCATTCTAGAAACAATGTATGTTCAATGTAGAAAATACAGACAATAATAACAGGTAATATTTATTAAGAGCTCACTGGGTACCAGACACTTTTCTAAGGGTTTTAAACAAATGCTGTCCACTTAAATATGGAGACAGAAATGGCAACTCACTCCAGTATTCTTGCCTGGAAAATTCCATGGATGGAGGAGCCTGGTGGGCTACAGCCCACGGGTTTGCAAAGAGTCAGACACGACTAAACTCTGAGTATATACCTCTTAAAAATTTAATATTACAAAATGAGGTTATCACCCCCATTGTGCAGATGAAAAAACTGAGGCTGGTTTGCCCAAGGTCCCTAAACTAGAGACTGACTCTGATTAGATTCAAAAAATCTGATGCACAGACATCATCTATTAAGGTGGGTCCTTCCAAAATCTCTTCCATAAACATTTTACAAAGAAAGGAACCAATTCATACATACTGGTTTATAAGCCACATTTTTTAAACTTGTGGTATCATAGACCCTTCCAATGTTCATAAATATGCCTTGACGTCATCTTTGTTTTTAACTGCACAACATGACATTCTAACCAGTTACTGTAGGGAATTCCCTGGAGGCCTAGTGCTTAGGACTCTCTGCTCTCACTGCAGAGGGCACAGGTTCAATTCCTGACTAGGGAACTAAGAGCCTGCAAACTGCTTGGTGCACCCAATAAGTAAAGCAACAAATAAGTAAGCAAAAACTGTGAATTCTTTATATATTTATTTTTAGTTGCACTGGGTCTTCACTGCTGTGCGAGGGCTTTCTCTAGTTGCGGCAAGTGGGGGGTACTCTTTGTTGCGGTGTGCAAGCTTCTCATTTCAGTGGCTTCTCTTATTGCAGCCACCAGCTCTAAGCTCGCAGGCTTCAGTAGTTGCAGCTCACAGGCTTAGTTGCCCCTCGGCATGTGGAATCTTCCCAGACCAGGGATTGAACCCATGTCCCCTGCATTGACAGAAGGAGTCTCATCCACTGTACCACCAGGGAAGTCCCGTAAATTTTTTTTAAACAGCAACCTCCCCGTGACTAAGTCTTAAAGTTTTCTCCAACTTTTAATTTCCCAAACCAAACTGGAAACTAAACCCTTCCGCACATCTCAGATTATATGCCTTTACAATAGATTCCCAGTAGAGCATTTTTAGTCAAAGAGGAAGCCCACTTTGAAAGGTTAAGAAACTTACAATTGTTCATTTTCAACAAAGCAGGGTCTATGGCGGCCCTGGCATCCAAGACAGCCAAGTCCAGCTCTTAATGGTGAAGACCTGACCCAGGATTCCCTTGCAGACAAGGGAGAAGGGAGGAGAAGGGGAGGGGGGCAGGCTCCCCAGGGAGGCCCGACAAAGGTGGGACCAGCTAAAGGCTCCTGTCATTGCCCTTTTGGAGCCCGATCACCCCTACTCTGCTTCTCCAACTCCAATAACATTTACCCTTTCTTTGCACGTGAGTAAACTGTGTGAGCGTGAGAGAGAGAGAGAATGCATGCAACCTGCTGGGCACAGCTTGTAATAGCTGGATATAAATCAGGCAGCCTCGACCCCCTCAACCTAGTCCAGGCTTCAGAGATGCTGAGAGAAGAGGTACTCAGGGTTGATCAAAACAGGGCCAAGATTGGAACTCCTTGGTGGTTCAGTGGTTAAGAATCTGCCTGCCGATGCAGGGGACACAGGTTCAATCCCTGGTCCAGGAAGACACCACATACCACGGAGCAACTAAGATCACGCGGCAAATACTAAAGCCCATGCACTCTATAGCCTGAGCTCCGCAACAAGAGAAGCCACGTCAATGAGAAGCCCGGGCACCGCAACTAGAGAGTTGCTCCCACTTTGCCACAACTAAAGAAAGCCCATGTGCAGCAACGAAGACCGAGCACAGCCAAAAATAAATAAATAAATGTGTTTTAAAAGCTAATAAAGTAACATGTACAGCATAATACCATGTGTCTCTAAAAAATTCATAAAACATTATCATATACTTTTTTTAAAAAGATAAAACTTGAAATAATGGATGAGGCTCAGAGAGACTGCAGAGCAGAGATTCAAGTTGCCAGGAGTACGTTCTCAGTGCTATTGAGGAAAGAAAAAAGTCCTCAAAAGTGCCCTGAGACACAGGTCACTGCAATTAAATGACAGGACTTTGGTAGGTTGTCCAGAGAGCGGCTGGGCTGTCCCAGACACTGCTCCTCTCTGCCTTTGCAAAGGCACCAGGTGGAGGGGTGTCCCAGGCCCGAGGTCCCCCAGGTCTCCTGCCTGCCGTCCACTGCAGGGGCACAGAGTCCGGAAACGAAACTCCAAGCCTCCTTGCTTTGCCTCTCCACTCAGAAACAACCAATTTCATAGGGACACGAACACAGCACATTGTGAAACTTCTATTATGAAACGATGTCCCAGTGGGATTCACAAAAGTCCATTTTTTCCCAAACACTTTGCTGCATTGAAAAATTCCTTTCGCGCAATCCTGTCTTGGCGGAATGTCTTTCTGTCCAGGAAGAAAAATTAAACATGAAACATTCAATTTGGCCTTAGGTAAGGGAAGATCGAAGCAGATGATGGTTCCTATAAGCCAAGCTTTTCATTTTGGTTCATTCGGCCGACAAAATAATCATTTCTCTCTGAGGAACAGCTTGTATTTAAATATCAATTTATGTCTTCATTGACTCTTCAAAGATTCACAATGAGTCCTCTAATATTAGTACTTTCAGGAACTTTGCTTCTTGCACTTGGAATTGTCAATACAAAGAAGAAAAAGTCTAAAGGAAAAAGAAGTGCAGTATTGACAAATTGATTCAACACTTTTCTTCTTCTTATGAGCAGTAAATCCTCATCCATCCCAAAAGTTAAAAGAGGAAAGTTCTTTCTTGATAAGACAAAAAAAAAAAAAATTCCAGCTGTCCCAAGAAAAGATGGATACATTTGAGTGCATAAATATTATAAAATTCTGCAAGCCAAAAAACTTAAAGCCATGACAAAGTCAAAAGAAAAATGACAACCCAGGAAAAAAATGTTTGTAAAACATTTAACAGGGAAGAAATAAATGTCCTTACTATATAAAGAACTTTTTAAAAAGAAAAGTAAGTTCTACTGTTTAAGAACTTACTTTGTGCAAGATCAAATGTCCCAAGAATTTTACATGAGTTGACTCTTTTAATCCTCCCAACAACCCTGTGAAGTAGGGGTTAATATGGTCCCCATTTTACAAGTGAGAAAACTGAAGCCCAGAGAGATAAAGTAACTTGTCTAAGGCCACACAGACAGTGATGGAGTCAGCATTGGAACCAGGCAGTCTGGCTCTGGAATCTGCGCCTGTCATCTCTCTATCCTGTCTTGGAGATGACGTTCTTTGGGAGAGGGCTCACTCACTGAATTAGACTACAAAGATTCTCAGGAATTCCACGGAGGAGAAAAGTGCCTACAGATGTGGAAGTTTTGCTGTGCGTTATCATCTCTGTGTCTGTGGTGAGTGGGGCAGAAGCAGCAGGTAGGAATGGGTAGGGAATTTCTCCAGGTAGAGGACCAGACCCACAGACTCGGCACCATGTCCTGCGTGTTTGTAACTCAAGGTGGACCAGAGCAGTGGCCAGCGGGGAGGGCAAGGAGACCTGCAGGTGATGTAGCAGCCTGGACATCCATCCTTCCTCACCCAGCACAGCATTCTTGGGGAGAATTGCTCCCCCCCCCCAACCTCTGTGTCCTCTAGGTCAAGTGGGACTGATTACACAGCCCCAAGCTCATGCAGGCTGGAGCAGTCAGAATCACAGTGACTGGTTCAGGGATGGCCATGCATCAGCTAATAAAAGGGACTCCTGGAGGCTCTGAGCCAACATTGTTATCACACCTGGAAAGCCCTCCTGAGAACAGAGCCAAAGTGATAGAGATTCGAGCTTCCAGTGACGTCATCTAAGCACCTGGACCCAGTTTGTCGTGGCAGACTGAATCTCCCAAAGAAGCCACACCATCTCCCAGCCCATCTGCTTTCATGCCATGTGACCTTCCCATTATCCATCAAGACTTAGGCCAGTGCCTCCACCTGCCCTCTGGCTGATCTGACCAAGAGGATACGACAGAAATGGCCCTGGCCAGGTTCCAGGGACAGCCATTAATTGTCCGGAAGCTTCAGCTTTCGGCTTCTTGGAGCACGGAACAAGTCCAGGCTCTGCTGGTAGAGAAAGAAACCACGGAGACGAGCCGGAGATGCCAGAGATGTGAGTGAAGAAAGTGATCTTGAGAAACCAGCTCAGGGGCACCTTCCAAGGACCCAGCCCTGGCTGCCACGGCTATAGCCATGAGAGAGCCCTGCCAAGCCCCAGAACTGTGAGAGGTGATGCTAAATTGTGTTTCACTTGTTAAGTTTGGGAGTGCTTGTTATGCAGCAGTCGATAACCAGAACACAGTCTTACTTGGAGCCTCTCAATGAATCTCCCAAGCCTAGCTGAGTTGAATTCCCACTGCTTATGAACTTTCAGTTGACTATGACTGTCCACAGAGGATGAGTCCCCTTCCTGACCCTGAAGTCCACCAAAGGCCACCAAAAGCATGTACACATGGCTTCCTCCGTCCTTCCTGACCACCACTTCGGGTGACAGGTTCGGGGGGAGGGTGCTGGGGAAGCTGCTGCAGGGTGAGCAGAGGGAGCAAAGTGAGTGTTAGTTACTCAGTCATGTCCAGCTCTTTGTAACCCCATGGACTGTAGCCCACCAGGCTCCTCTGTCCATGGGGATTCTCCAGGCAGGAATACTGGAGTGGGTAGCCATGCCCTTCTCCAGGGGATCTTCCTGACCTAGGGATTGAACCTGGGTCTCCCACATTGCAGGCAGATTCTTTATCATCTGAGCCACCAGGGAAGAGGGAGCAAGGAGATGCTCTATTCT